AAAATTTATTTATTTATTAAAATTCAACAAATTCAAAGATTTTACTTGAATTTTCTGACAAAATATGTCTGTTATAAACCCAAAAACTACATTTTATAACTACCCTCAAGACTGTTAAAGGATTCTCTAATCCTTTAATTATTTTATATAATATAATATTGCATTGTTCAGTTTGTGTTTGCATATATCGTGGGCCAAAGCAACAAATTATCTAAAAATCAGAACTGCTATCTGCATAAAAATTTTTCTTATATAAGAGGTTTCTAAGGAATTGTTCTGTAGCTATATCTATATTACTATACTTGATATTCTAATTTTTTTTAAACTAAGCTTTATAGCTAATCATTAATAAAGACAGCAAAAAACTTTAATTGTTTTATAAAAAGTGGTATAACTCAAAAAAAAATAAAATAAAATAAAAATTTTAAAATCTTTGAAGACGACTTTTATTAAATTTTTAATTTGATCTTTATTGTTATTAAATTTATAATACTAGATTTACTAATCATATGACCAAATACATTCTTTATTTCAGTGTATTCATCTACCAATCACAATTTATACAATGATTATTATGCTTTTTTTTTGCTTATGTGAAGCATATACATACGTATATAAATCTGTGTTTTGATGCTTTTTATAAAATTGATATTTAAGGAAAATATATCATTTTATTTTCAGCAATTCAAATAATCATATTAACAAATTCACTTACCTATATTTTAGTATTTTAAAAGATTGTCTATTAACATTATTAGAGATTGTTAGTATTATTATTTAAGAAATAAACTAAATTATAAATTGTCAAAATATTTTTCTTTGATATTTTAAAGAAAGAATCATCACTACCATTAAGATGGTGTCGAGTTTTAACAATAATTATTTTTTCATATGCATTATGTACCTCTTTCATAATACTAATTGCAAAATTGGTTAATGAAGTGCCTGCTATTAAAGTAACTTATAAATATAAGGAGTTTATTCCAACACCAAGTATGATTAACCTTTTTATTAAAAAAATTTATATTAATATATGTTTTTTATTGATGTATAATTAATAGCTGTAAAATATTTCAAGATAATTTTAGTTATGATAGTAATAGAATATATCTGAAATATTTAAAATCTAATTTATCATTTGCTGAAGATGTTCGCAAAAATGTTGAACAAATTTCTCAAACTGATCTAAGTGATTATATGGGATTAGTATTGGGATCTGGATATTTGGATTGATATCTGTTTTAAAAACTATCTATCCAGATATCCTTTTAAATTAAAATATAGTATTAGAATCCAGATATATCTGGATGATTTCAGAATGATTTTAAAGAATTTTTTTATATAAAATAAAATATTATAAATATATATAGGATGAATCTAATTGTAACACCCTGTTACACACCTTATTTGTAACATCTAACTTAATACAACCAATAAAAATCATTAAAAATTTGTGTAACCCAAACCCTAAATTGAAATCTGATTGGCTTGTTACACATAACAGGTGTTACAAATACATTTTTTCATATATATATATCTACTTTTAAAGCATCTTCATTCCAAAAATTGTTAAACACTTAGGTGTTAGCAGAACTTTTACAAATCGAGCTCTTAAGTATTTAAAGAAATGAATGTAATAAAAAACTTTTGTATACAATATATTTATCATAAAGTTGAATTTATTTCAAAGACTTTTTGTATTTTTTGATAGTCTTTTTTATAAATTTCTTATAGACTAAATATATCAAACATGTTAAGTAAGTATTCAAACAAAAATTTAATATTAAATATGTCAATATTATATCAAGATATAATGAAACAAGTATATCAAGTTTCGCGTTTATATAAAATTTTTGTTTTAATTTTAGTCTGATGATTTACCAAATTAGGGCAATGCAGATCGCTCCTTTTTTGATATAGAAATACAGATCGGAATATTCCAGATCACAAGAATTTTGTGTTATATGAGATACGAAATAAACCTATAGAATAGTATCGGTATATATAATACTGTATGTCATATTTTTTATTCGAGCACCTATTTATTTAAAGTAAGCACGTACCGTAAAAGTATATATACAAGATCCTCCCATATAACAGACTTGTATATGCACTACTGGATAACAGTCTTATAAGACTGTTATCCAGTTGCATTATAATGTTATCTAGTTAGCTATTCAAGTGACGAACGATTCGCACTTGCATCGTCAGAGATATATTAGTATTCGCTCCATCATTTGAGTGACGACGAATTTGAGTTCACGTCGTCATTCGAGTGACGAACGATTCGCACTTGTGTCGTCAGAGATATATTAGTATTCGCTCTATCATTTGAGTGACGAACGATTCACGCTTACGTCGTCATTCGAGTGACGAATGATTCACGCTTGCATCATCAGATATATATTAGTATTCGCTTCATCATTTAAGTGACAAACGATTCATGCTTGCATCGTCATTTGAGTGATGATGAGATCATATATCTGTCGTCATTCGAGTGACGATGAGATCATATATCTGTCGTCATTTGAGTGACAATGGGTTTACATATATGTCATCACTTGAGTGACGATTAGTTTATAAGTCTGTTGTCATGTAGTACAGAATTGTTATCCATTTGGTAACCTGAGGATGAGACACGTAGTGCCGAATCGTTATCTATTATGTTATCTTAGAATGAGGCATGTAGTGCCAAATTGTTATCCTATTTGGTAATCCGATGATGAGGCATATAGTGCCGAATTGTTATTCATTTGGTAGTACCCCAAAGCATAATTTTATATATTATATATTTTTCTATAATTATTATACCTTGACGTACTACTGCGAGTATACTATGTTTTGGGTCACTGGAAGCCTTTCTCGCATAGTTGGTGCTTTAGAGTATTACCTCTCCATGTAAAAAATCGTCCTATGCTTTGTCGTTTTATTATCGAAAAATTGGATCATATTTTGGTGTACTACCGATTCGAAAAATTAGATCATACTTTGGCATACTACCGAATCAAAAAATTCCTGTAAAAAATCGGATCATACTTTGGCATACTACCAAATCAAAAAATTGGATCATACTTTTATATACTACCGATTCGAAAATTTTATTCTTACTTTTGCATACTACCACATCGAAAAATTTCACGCTTTTGCACTATAATTCCATCACACGAATTTTTAAATTATGCGACACAAAAATGGTCAGGTACCTTATTATTTTCCTGCAATTATTTTTCGATTTGAATTTTTTCCCACACTTATTGTAAGAGATGACAAAAATCCCCTTACCTGAAATAAATAATTAGTTGAATGTAGCAATATACTTTCTGTCAGAGGTACACTACTAAACTAGATCATTGATTGATTGAATTAATCAGTAAATTTTGAGTTAGTATCGGTAATAGGTATCGAATCAAAGAGTTCTTGAATTTCATTGACTGATTCTGGTTTATATGGTGGAAGAATCGGAGCTCTTGCTTTATTAAAACCAGTTCCACTGTATGGTTTGCGGTCAATCCAATAAATTTGTTTCCATACTTGTTGACCCTTAGGTCCTTCTCTTTTTTGTTTACTCTTAATAGCATAACCGCACCAATTACCCACTACCGCATTGATGAATTTTATTGTAGCATTGAGATCAGGTGTTTCTTTGGCCCGAGATTTAAATCCGAAGAGTAATAATGCATCTTGTCGAATTTTAATGATTTTTTCCTGCAATTCTTCGAATGCTTTTGCCACATCATCGCCTGAGAGAATGCGCTCATCATCTATGCCGGTAAAACCCAATGATTGGAAAAGGTTATGAACAGCTTCCCATTGTTTTACTAAATAATATTTATGCAAATCGTTTGAGGCCGGATCCAAAGAATCTTGTGATTCTTCCCATTGTATGGTTTCTTTGAATTTTAAATTTTCCAAAGCTTTTATCGCATTAGAACCTTGTCTTCGGAAATAGGCAAGTCTTCTAAAATGTTGTAAAGGTTCGGAATTGTTGAATATTTTTACAAAATCTATATCACAGAGTTTAACCCAATCAGCATTATCCATGCCCCAATCTCGAGAATCATTCTTACCTCCTATGTCACCTGAAGCATAAATTTTCCATAAATAATATCGTTGTAGAATCATATTATCAGTAAAAGAACGTATAGGATTTAGCTTAAGCATTTCAGCTTCATTGAAACTAATATCTGGGGAATTAGCTATTAATTCAGCATCAGCAACTTCGATTTTTTTTGCAACTTTCTTGATTGTATTAGATACTTCTACACGAGTAACTTTTGCCAAGCTGGTCTCTTCTATTGTAATTAACTCAAGAGATGCTCCGGTACTAGCAATAAGACTACAAAGAATTTCCAGAAAGTATTTAACCGATAAACGTCTCTGATATTCAACCTCTATATAAGTCTCTACTGCTGGAGATGAATCAAGTCCATAGCAATCAGAAATTTTATTCCATTCACAATGTCCTTTTACTGCTGTTGGTAAATCCCCAGGTCTTAAGGCTGAAAGTTCTGCACGAATAAGGTCACGATTTCAATAACATGTTGTGCCTTTCTTCGAGGTCTTTAGGTAGAATAGAAATTGGTGATCGAAGTTTGGATGGTCCAGATTGAACATTTACCTGCGGTACAAATAACGTCTTTTTTTCAGCATCCTTTTCGATTTGTGGGGACTCAAAGGTTTCAGAGTTTATCCAGGGATCGAGCCCAGTCTCTTCCGTATATGCTCTATATAAGCTCAAACGGATTTTATCTGACAAATGACTCGGTGAATCAACCAATTTAGCATGCCAGTTCAAATATTCAGGGGTTAAGGCACTTTCTTTATCCATGTTATTGTTTTATATGATCGCAAATTCAAATTATGAGTTGTGCTGACACTGTGCATAACAATTATAAAAAAAAACAAATATAGTATTGCAAAGTGATGACCCTAACTAATTTACAAACGTTTGAAACAAGAATACTTGTCACATAGTGGCTATACTTGGATAATTTTATAATTTATGCCGTTATCTCAATTTCGCACTTTCCACATATAATAAAATAAGATGATGTAGAACATCGAATCTTTGATTCTCCAGCTTCGTATCTACCTTTTACACTTTTCCCTTCCTCATGACTTTTCTTACATACTGGGCATAATGATCCCTCAAGAATTCCATAATAATCAAATTTTTCACTACTAAATTCTTTATATAAATCAGAACATCGCCACAATATTTTATTGCAAAAATAAGCACGGTCATGGGTCGGATTATTCGGTTTTCTAGGTAAGGTCTTTGTTTCGGGTTGAGGCATGAATGGCACATTTACCTCTGCTTTTGATAAATCTTTCTTGGGTTGAGATGCAGATGATGCATTTATCTCGGTTTCCAATAGAGCCTTTTCGGGATGAAATACAGGTAGTATACTTACCTTGGCTTCTGGTAAGATCTTGGTTCTCACAGAAGTGTTAGAGATTTGAGGTTTGGTAGATGGACTTACCTTAGGCAAAATTTCGGTTACGTGATTTTGGCGACGGGCCGTCGTCGAAATTTCAGTCATGTGACTTTCTATATTAGACTCATTATTGGAAATATTATCGACAATCTTTTGAATTTGTTCATTAGTCAATTCTGAGATAGAATTTGCGCTGTATGCTTTAAGATACATAATTTTATCTATACCTATTTTTTCAAATAATTTATAAGTCCTTACGGCCTTTTGGGTCTTTTTGCATAAAGTTTTACGTGGAATTTCTGGGAGCTGTAATCCCATTTCCTTGAACTTCCTTTCACGGATGATGTTAAGGTGCTCCAATATTTTGTCATAAATTATACCTTTAGCTTTTTTCTCGCCAATTTTTCCATTATTATTTTTTATAAGATCATTATATTGAATTATGAATTCTTTCCCATAATTAATCCAGCATAAGGTTTCTTCTTGGTTAACTTTCATAGCGTAATGTTCAGCATTAGTTGCTTTATCAAATAATTGTGCTAAGTCGAGTAATCGGATTTTAGAAGAATTTTCTGAAATTCCAATCACATGATTTGAATCCGAAAGAATATTATCAAGATTATCAGTGGAACCGTGCGCAAGTGCATCCTGAATGCCATCAGATATCACTTGAGTGATATTCTCTATTCCCTTTTTCTTGTGCGATTTGTTCTGGCTTTTATTCTGCTTCTGATCCCAAAGCTCTTTCAAAGGTTTCAAGTCCAGAGATTCAGGTGTCGACATAGTTGATGTTTCGGATTGTATTGGTGGAGTTAAGTTATTATGTGATTCTTGAAGTTTTTTTTCCCGGTTCCTCTCTCTTATCTCACTACTAATCTTTTCCTTATGTATTGTTTCTACAAAATCTAGGATTTCAACTGAATCGTCATCGATAATATCTTGTGGTAAAGAGGTTGTAGATGTTTCATGCTCCGGCTCATGCCGAAACTTTGTCTCTTCAGATTGGGTCGAGTTATGTTCTATCTCTGGAGAATGGCTCTCGGTTAGTGGTGAAATATCTTTTGTAGATGCTTCCCGTTCATTAGTAATAGCCTGGATCTGTTTCTGTTCCAATTTGGCGATCCTGGCCTTGAGCTCAGCATTTTCAGCTTCTCGCTTGGCATTCTCTTCTATAACCTGTTTTGCCAGTTTAGTATTCTTTGCCTCAAGCTCAGTCTTTTCAGCCTCAAGCTCAGAAATTCGTTGTCTCAATGAATCAATCTCAGATTGCATGTCTTAGTAATAGATATATATAACCTATTGTTTATTTAAAATGTATAACCAAAGCAATGAAAATTTCGGCGACGGGCCGTCGTCAAAAAAATATATTTATAGATAGAAGTATTGCGATACCTAACCACGAATCGTGATTGCATTTGTAATTGAAAGAAGCGAATATATAACCATTTCACGATCTTTATCATTATTTTGATGTATACTATGTATTGATCAATAGTTCAATAGTTATGTATAACACAATAAACAAGATACCAAAACGTTTATATTATATGATCGCATTACAATTTGACAATGTCATTACACATTTAAATTACTTATGCAATATTAGAAAACGTTCTCATTAAATGATTTATTAAAAACATTTTGACAGAATGTCAAGGTCATTTTCTTTTTTTTCTGTCTACTGGTTGTACTTTCTTTTTTTCGGGCGTCAAGTCAGTTAGTGTAATGAACAGGTGTGCATTTTCATTATTATCGGGTGTACGGGTACATGCATCCTGAATATAACTTTTCAGATCAGTCAAACTTTTTTCAAGCAATTCCTAATGATATAGCAGTGCAACAATAAAATTTCGTAAATAAATGTAAGAAACTAATGTAATATAGTTAGATCAGAATGAAAACAAACCTTAAATTTGATAAATGCTGATACAGAAAGTTTTATTAACCCCACTTCAACAGCATTCGTTGGTAATTTTGATCGTAAAACCTCACAAAAAACATACAGTCCACGAAATGGTATTGACATTTCATAAACAATCATTTCATTATCTATGGAAAGTAATTGTTAGTTTTGTACAATATTAACAATTTTCAATGTTAGCAATACTTACAATAAACGTGTAGACCGTACAATTTTAATAAACTCAAGTTCATGCCTGTACCACCATACTTTTTCACAATCCTATTAATGATAACCTTTAAATTCTTGGCAATTTTAAGTTTGTCATTAAAAAAATGTGAATGATCAAGTTTGTTCGGTGGCCCACTGATTTCACTAATAGAGAACTCAAGGTCAGTTGGCTTCATAGACCAGATGATGTCTATTTTTTGGCCTGCATTACGGTCTTCCCCGTCATCTTTTCCCCGATTACGATCTTCTAATGAAGCGAATAGACATTTTTCGCCACTATGTAAAGGTACAATACAATTTTGTTTAAAAAAATAATATCAAAAATTTTATAAAAAGTTATTCATATACCTACAAATAAATATTCATTTCCCGGTGTGTGCCTCGGAAAAGACTTCGAATTAGAGGGGTAAAGAATATTTCCCGATACCCGAATTCGGACAGATTATAATTCGCTAAATCGTTATCCCTTTCAAATGATTCAACACTAAGAAAAAAAAAGAAAACTTGAATATAAGACCAAAGAAGGTAGAGGAAACATATTTAATAAAATGGCTTTTAATTATTACAGAATATTCAAGTAATCCCATATAAATTTTGTAGTATTATTGACTCTCGTTTTCAAGTAGCTCTCATCTACAAATTTACGGAATTCTTTTGTCTACATTGTGAGACGTTAAGAAAAATTAGAAGCAACAAAATATTTACATTAAAAATCACAAAACTAATGATACCTTAATAAATTCAATAATATAATCTTTCATTTCGTTGTTCGTATTAGGTGTTGGTGACGGTATTAACTGTTTTATTTCATGCACTGCATTGTCAGGTAGTGATCGTAGAAAATCACTATTAGAACCTGGTGTGATATCTATGATGTCATAGAATGCCAGACTAAAAATTTCCAACATCAGTACATTACATTAGATCTGTTCAAATTTATCACATACTGAACACACGTAATTAAAAAAAATGCTTACTCAGTGCGCGGTCGAACCTTTACTTGTTTCCATTTTGTTAGTGCTTCCTGTAAATCGATGCCACATAAAATCCATTTATTCCCATCATTTCGAATGGTCTCTTTGGCACTCATTTCTAGTGCATCGTTTATCCTATTCAAACAACAGTGAGGATTCTTGCTTCGTAGTTGTTAGCATAAATAATTACAGTACCTCTCTTCATTACTTATGATGTCTTTTCCCAATACGATTTCAATCCGCGGTGCTACCGAAGACACGAACTTTTTGCTATTATCATAGTTATTAGTGGTTGTAGTTTCAGTTTGTGTCTGAGCTACCAAAGAAATATTGGAATTATCGTCACGATTATTCCCTTCGTTATCGTCATCGCAATCATTATCACTAGAAGTGCTTTCAGTTTGAGTCACAAAAGAAGTATCATCATTATTAACGAGTTCACGATCATTGTCGCTGGTTGCGTTCCCAGTCTGTCTCTGAACCAATGAAAATATTATTAGCATTATTTCATAGAAATAAATAACAATTAACTTACCGATTTACCATCTAGTCTGTCGTCTAATTGCTCATGAAAAGAAATATGGGCTTCACGTTTTCGTTTTTTTACTTTCCGCTAATATTCAAAGATTTTTGCTTTTATAACAGTTTAATCAGCTCAAGTAAAAAAAAAAAACTACGTACATCGGTTTTTCTATCTTCTAGCAAATCTTCATAACGTGCCCAATCATCCCTATATTCGTCATTATCCCATTTTCCTCTCAGATTTAATAACTTCATAGAATCTGGCGCTTCTTGCAAAGCCTGGTTTAGCCTCAATCCGTACTCGTGATGAGCCTTTGAACTACTACGATATTTGAACCTCGAAAAAAAGTTCAACGGACGAGGATCTGCGTGATTCAACAAATAACTTCTTTGCTCCTCTCGACGCGTTTTACTATGGGTCATTTTTCGATAAAGATTTTGAAATTGTGTCATTATATTTGTTACAAGAATCACGTGTGATCAATTTTATTTTGATTGCTCATCTATTTTGCCTAAAACAACGGCACGGACTGGTTTACTCGAGCAGAAAAAACTGAGGTTACTCGCTTGTATTCTGCGGATGTTTTCATATCAATATGAAAATCACAACCCCTGCGCAAGCGTCTGCTAGGTATTAAGTTGAAGGTCGGGAAAAAACTGAGGTTATTCATCTGGATAAGCGAGGCGTTATTACCAACATACGGGAGCCTGTCTGCGAATGATTGCGGTCGACCAGATGGATACGCTTCAACACTGGCCGTGTTCATAATATACTCAACATACCCTTATGGCTGTAGTAAAATAATCTACAGACATGTGTCAAAATTTTTATGACGCTAATGTCTTCTATTTCTGCAGGGAGTATTTTTTTTGATTCTTCAATTATTATATGAAAAAATAACCTTATAAAATCTACTTTTTAGATTTTTGATCAAACAGTCAAATCGTACAAATCATGAAGTCAACATTGGAGATATGTGCTAAAAGCTAAATTTCAACCGCTCATTTACCTAAATTACGACTATTAAATATTTACAGTGGCAAAATACAACCTGGAAATTTGGGGGAACTTTATTAATAATATTATATCGATGCATTATGTGATCATTATGATTAAATAGAAGTGTAGGGGCAGAGACTAAGAGGGATGAATAAAGCATGAATATCCACGCCTGATGGGATCTTAGGTTCTTATTGCTACTAATAACGAAATTATCTTTCCTTTTTGGCATGAATGTGCTGGGCTTTCACCGATCCAAGCCTCAGTTTTATCCAACAAGGTTTGTATTTGGGTCTATAAATGCTTGCCCTTTATTAAGAGAATTGTAATGATCGAAACCATATGACCAAAATTTCAGCGACGGTCCGTCGTCGAAATCACAATGGATTTTATAATCTTTATTATTAAGTTAATAAAGTTCGCCCAAATCTTGGGTCTTATTTTTGCATGAACGTGCAGGTTTACACCAGTGTAAGCAACGTAATTTATCATGTATCGGTATGCATTCTTATGATCCAAAATCATAATATCGATGTATACTCTTTCATTGATTGGTGCCCGTGTAACTGATATTCTGGAGTCAAGAAAATCCCGGGCCTTCGACCCTAAAACTATGGTTCCGTAGTATCAAATATTCTCTATATATCGATATCGATATTTGTTGTAAGTGGATTTGGAATTTCTTAAGATTTTAGGGTTAGAGCGTAGGCTTATATAAAATAAATTCTACCCTAAAAATTCTAAAAAATTCCACTAAACCGTTACATTTTACAATATCCCAGTTCGCACTACTTTCAGAAAAATGGCAATTTCTATGCCAAGGCATGAGCTCCGCTTGTGCTCCGTCTCACAAATAAGTTATGCCTTGTAAGGTATTATAGTACAGATAAATTTATACGCATGCGGAATTTACTCTAACACGTTAATGCAGTAATGAATTATCGCATTCACATCGCTTATATATTCCATTCGCTACTTTTTTGCATGTCTTACAATATAGGTGTGAATGATGATCGTATTCGTCACAAACCTTACACCCACGCTTCCATCCTCTAAAGATATGCCACTTTTCGAAGTAATTTCGACTTTTTTGATTTGTAAGTATATTATTCATTGTTATATTAATAGAAAAAATAATATATATGTGGCTAAATTTTTTATTATACAAACCTGTAATGTGTGGCACTTGTGTTTGTCATTAAATTATGCATAACGGTAAGCCTCATAAGGAATTTCTAATTTATTCTGCACGTACATTCAAAATTTTTCTCGTCGATCTTGTTACCGTTATGTAACATTGTATGTAATTCATTTTTACCCGTTACTAATCCTGTTGAGGTAAATAAATTCTTAGTGAATGAACGCATTTAAAAATCAAATCACAAATATAACTTTATTAATTTTATAGATATATAGGCTCGGGCAAGTTAAGTAAAAATGAATATTGGAGTAGCGGTGTTTCAAGGGAGGAACATCTCGAGCCCTAACCCATAAAATGAGAGTTCCTTCCCGCTACTCCATGCTATCTAACCATCTACCTATATCATTAAGTGTAGAACTTTTACAACTAGTGCTATTATTATAAAAATTTTTAATTGTTGCTGTTTTAATTTTACCACCAAGGTCTTGGAT